TGTGTAAATAATATCCTAAAATAAAATAAAATTCAAATTCGAATTCGAATACAATAAAACTAATAAACTCAAATTAAATTATTCCCCGGCAACGGCACCAAAACATTGTTCGTGCAAAACCCGCAAGCGTACAAGATCGCTGACAAGTAATAGAATTGATGAGTTGAGAGTATCATCATACTGTGAATAAATTCAATTCAAATTTACTAGTTATGTATGTGATTCAAATTGTGTAAAGAAAATAGAGATTTTGATTTTATATTATGCTAAATTATCTAAGAAAACAGTAAAAAATATTTTGTATTAAATTATGGATGATTATATTGGATCTCGAATCCGTGTATTGCTATCTATTTCAATTCTGAATTTGCCTTCTAGTTTCGTTCATGCGTTCTTGATAATCGATAATTCTATTGTAATTAATTCTATTTTCTAAGATAAATTAAATCTATTTTAACAACGACCCGAATTCGAATGATTAGAATGCATTAAAGTTTAGATTATCTATATGATTGCACATGTGATAAATGTTATTCCTAACATCTATTGTACATATGTTAATTTTATCGTGTTCTAAACTTATTGTGAGTTTCCCAACACTCCAATAAGAAACTAATTATCTAATTGGTGGCCAATCAGTCAACTAATGCAATGGGTATGCAAAATTAATCAAGAAACACAATAAATAAATTAAACTACTAGTCTTGAATTAAAACAAATAACAAATAGGGTTCATCTTCATCCAATACAAAAGCGGATCTAACCTAACATGTTGATATATAAATTACAAGAAGAATAATGAAAAAATATCACCCGGTTCATGAAATAAATCAAAAGATGTTGATCTTCACGCCCAGTATTGAATTCTTCAAAATCTTGATATAATTGACCTTTAATTCTTTGTTATAGCTTGATCTCCTCTCTCAAAATATAGTAATTGGCCTCTTGTTCTTGATGAATTTGATGAAACTATAGTGTATGAAGAGGCAAGAGAGATTTTTCTATGTGTATCCCTCGTTCTCCATTTATAAGAGCCAGAAAATAGGTTAAAATCACGTCCAATTTAGTTTCCAAAAGAGTTTGAATCGCGAAAGGAAATTAAAGATTCGTATGTGAAAAATGCCTATGCGCGCGCTCGCCGTTCATTGGTTTTAGGGACGGTAAGTAAAATTCATACCCGTGCGCGCGCGCACAGATTTGTTTCTAAACAGTATTCGGTAATTTGGTCGTACCTTTCTCCACAGATATCCTATTAAGCTGATTCAAAATGTGTTGGGAAGATAATTCAAAAAGATACAATTCTTAGGCTCCGTTTGATTGGCGG